TCAAAGTTGTAAAACCCAGCCCGCGCGGAAACTTATGCCTGTGGAGGTGGTGCTGAACCCTAAACCCTAAACCCTAAACCCTAAACCCTAAACCCTAAACCGCGGACACTTCGGCCTGTGGAGGTGTTGCTGAGGAGCTTCCGCACGTTCTGGCGGTCAGAAGTCGGGTTTCAGGGTTCCTTGAAAAGGGTTCCTATCAGAGTCCTTATAGGGTTTAGGGTTTAGGGTCCGTTTTTGGTTTCAGGGTTCCTTTAAGGGGTTCCTATGAGGGCCCTTATAGGGTTTAGGGTTGGGGGTTTAGGGGTTTAGGGTTTAGGGTTTAGGGCTTAGGGTCCCTTTTTGGGGTTTAGGGTTTAGGCCTTAGGGTCCCGGCTTCAAGGCTCAGTTCCCGCTTTTTTTTTTGTTTGTTTAGGGTTTAGCCTAGGGTTTAGGGCTTAGGGTTCGCTTAGAAGGGTTGTGCTTAGGTTATAGGATGCTGCTCATGATGTTTCTGGTGGCTCCAAAAAGGGACCCTAAAGCCCTAAACCCTAAACCCTAACCCCTAACCCTAAACCCTATAAGGGGCCTCATAGGAACCCCGTAAAGGCTTTTGACTTCGGATTCGGGAGCACCTTGTAATGCAGGGCATACCCCACAGCAGCAGGATCCATAACGCAAGGACTCCACACAAAGGACCCGGGTTTAGGGTTTAGGGTTTAGGGTTTAGGGTTTAGGGTTTAGGGTTTAGGGTTTAGGGTTTAGGGTTTAGGGTTGAAGACAAAATCATGCCAACGTTTACGACTTAGGGCCTGCGTAGTTGGAAATGTGCCTGCAAATTGCCGATCATCAAGGGACTAAAGTGACTAAAGGAGGGACCCTTAAAGTGACCCTTGGGGTTATATAGGGTCTTAATGTGACTATACAAGGGGTATATAAGGGTTACATAGGGTATTAGGATCAGGGGTCCCTTCTAGGGGTCCCTCCTGTTTTCCCGTAGCTGCCTGGAAGGATGCTCTCAAATCTGGCAGTCCTGGCCTGCTGGAGTCCGAGAGGATAGATGGCTGCGGCCTCAGGATCAAGTGTAAGAGGCATTGTATGAATTACTAAATGCTATGCTATGATATTACATTGTGCGATATCATATCGAGCTGCATTATTATAATACTGTGTTATACTGCATTATGCTATGTTACACTCTAGTACATTATACTATGCTGTATGGCACATACTAGGTTTCTAAGATCATATGTTGAGGTATAGTAAAGTCCGGGAGCGTATATTTATGTAGTACTTCCGCTGCAACCAGAAGCATGTGGGGGAAACCTCGCAAGGACCTTGGGCTCTGAAGATTATTGGTGCATTCCTGTACCCTTCTGGCCACTTGCTCGGTTATACTATGGTCTCCCATACTCGTATTCTACGATATACTATATCATACTGTATTATCCTAAACCACTAGCGAGTATAGCATAGTATAGTATAGTACTTTTCAAGCTTTCCTGGTCAGGGGAGGATTCGCTGGCTGAGACGGTTGCGCATCGGATCGGAGATCTTGCTGACAACGATGACTTCCTGGGAGCCTTCCATAGCTTGCATCAGAAGCAATGACCAGTGGTGAAATCAAAAAGGCCACGCCCATGGACACATCGGTGTTCCTGAGCTTGCTCTTGGTTCGTAATGTTCATAACTTCTGCTCCCCTCCTCTGCAGCGACCGCTCCGAGGTCTGTGTCTTGACGTGGTCAGCAAAGCCACAACATGCAAGGTCTCAAAGCCAAGTGTCGCCATCACGAACTGAATGTAGAGCCAAGTTCGGACCTTCGTAATGCGCCGAACTTTATCAACATCACAAGCTGGGGGGCGATCAGTCTCAAACCAAGCACAGACAGTCGTTGCAGTTGCAGTGTTGTGGTGATATAGCGCCCCATTTCGCAGGCAGGAACGGGCAAAGACACAGAAACATATTGCTACACATTGCTGCCTTGCGTGCAGCAACAGGCTCTGGGGCCGGGGCCATGTCAGAAGGTGGCGACGGTCACGTTGGGTTTTCATGTGAGATCCGCAGCTGGGCAGATGCGGCACCCGTGCAAGCGTATTTTCCAGACCTTGCGATCAACGACGACTACTGCGACTGCCTAGACGGCTCGGACGAGAATCTCACAGCGGCCTGCCCGCACAACATCTTCTCATGTCTGAATTCTGGTGGCATTCCGCGACTAATCGACAGTTCCTTTGTCAATGATGGAGTTTGTGACTGCTGTGATGGGTCTGATGAGACCACGATGGCGTGCAGCAACAGCTGCCAGCAGGAGCTGTCAGACATGTCTTCTAGAATTGCGAGTATGTTGGCCCTCGAGCGCAGGGGAACGACTTTGAAGGAAGAGGTCTTGCGAGTGCTTTCGGAGAAGGTAGCATTGACAAAGCAGACACTGAAGAGTGCCCAGGCCGCTGCTGCGCCTTTTTTGGAAGCTAGTCAGAAGATCAAAGACAAGTTGGGTGAAGTTGCCCGCAAGAGCCAGAAAGAGAAACAAGGCGGGAAAAAGGGCAAACCGCTCAATCTTACTGAGATCGCTGACGGCCCTGGACGGGCAACATTGCGATGTTTCGCCGGAGAATCCACCTACGAGGATTTCCCGGCCAATGTGTCTTGCATAGCTGCGGCAGAGTGCCCATTTGTCTGTGCTTACCTGTGCAGTGACTCCCGCCGATTCAATGGGACCTGCGCGCTGGATGCTGGTGGCGAGCCGTGGATGTTCTTTGAATACAACCCTGATGCATTGAAATATGAGAAAATGATGGCGGCCTATGGCAAGGCCCAAGCAGGTGCTGTGGAAGCATCTGCTATAGAACACGTCATCCCGAGCGAGAAGTGGACACAGCTTGACTTCAAGTGGCTCGAGCTTCGACAGAGACTGCAACGAATACAGCGAAAGGCAGCCGAGACCTTGGAAGCCCTTGCAGAACCTGGGTTCCTATTAAGGAACCTAAGGCCACGGTACCATGTTTTCCCTTAATTTCCCTTACTTTGTACCTACTATCGTAACTTACCTGCCGTTCTTTGAAAGATCCCAGGAAGCGGAGTCTGACTCGCACATGATGAACTTTGTTGAGTCCGGCCAACTCGGTCCGTCTGGAGTCTACCACGACCTACATGAGGTGTGGGAGTTTCAAGGGCTTTTTAGCGGTATTAGAGAAGGTCTGGGGGGTATCAGAGAAGCAGGGGTGCCGTAGTAGGGGCACGATGAGGATCCTACTATTGGGTCGCGGATTTCTTAGAGCAAGGATCATTCGTTTTACGGTTCATGTTAGGGGCCCTAGTCCAGGTATGCGTGAACCTGACACAAACTCAGTATGTTGGGACCACGGCACTGCGTGAGCAATGGCGTACTTTCGTGTACGGCATTTGCTTCTATCGGAATGCCACGCAAGCGGAGCTCAAGTCGGATGTAGAAATGGCGGCAATGTGCGATGAGTCTGGCAAATGCTCAGAAGCCCAAGCTGCAGCATCAGATCCAATCGTTCTCGGACGACCCGCAGGCTTCATGCTTCCCGGTAGCGATCCAAAACGATACGGGCTACGGGAACTGTTCTTCGAGCCATCGGACAACACCCTGATATTTGCGGGAGGTGCTTCCTGCGGACATGTGGCGCGAGCTGTCGCTGTTGAATTTGTTTGCGGGGAGACATTGGAGCTCCGTCGTGTTGCAGAAGTGAGAACGTGCTGCTACGTTGCCGAAGTGTCTCACCCAGGTGCATGTAACCTCCTGAGATGGCCCAGGGGTCTTAGGGATTTGGACACAACCAGTCTGGAGGCCAGCACGGCAGAGGTGTCTGCATGGCTGCTACGCAATGCACAGCGTCTGCACCAGGAGGGCGTGTCTGATTGGACAGTCCGGCTTGGCTCCCCACGCTCCGCTCAGCAGTGGCTTCAACGTGTCGATCAAGGCATGGTCCCGCCCCTTGTGACCGTCGAGACTGCCAGGGAGTCGCTCTCATCCACCCTGTCCTTGGCGCAATCGGCTTTGGAGCTTCTGGCGAATGCAGCGAGAGGCTGTGTTCCGGGCGTGGTTGTGGAGCTGAGATCTCAGGCAGCTGAGAGCTTGATCGAGCTTGCCGGACAGGTAAAGCTGCCAACTCCAGTGGCAAATGCCTCCGACGCCATGATTTCAGCTCTGGGATCCTTCGATGTTGATTGGAGTCAGGCCTGGAGCTACTTGGACAAGGCCTTGGCTGGAACCGGCCAGACTGTGACCTACAGCTTGGTACCTTTGCTTGAAAGGTTTGAAGAACAAAGGCCGGCTGGTCGGCACTATTCCGTATCGACTCAAGAAAACGATGTGCTGCTCTTGCTGGGATACGTTGCGCTGGTGCACATCGTGATGATGTGCTGCTTGCGTGCCGTACTGTCTGCCTGCTGCTGCTTTGGAAGAAGCTGTTGTCGATGCTGCTGTTGCAGTCCCCGGAAATCAAAAGCCTCAGTGCTCGACGAATCCACGCCGGGAGGGAGACTTGGAGATGCCGACAACACGCAAGGGATCGATGCTGCAGACTCTCCGAAGTAAAACAACTTCTGAGTGACGGTATTGGGCAGTTGGCTTCTTTGTAAACCTCCCATGTGGTGTCGGTTGCATGGGTTCGCTTTAACTTGTAATTGTCCGTGCCCGAGTTGTAAGACCGTGACATGAGGGGTAGGAGCTCATGAAGAGCCGGGAACATTGCAGTTGCCCCGGGCTTCAGGTCTACGTTGAGAGTTGAAGGTCAGCAAATCCTAGTATGACTCCTGCCCTCTAGAGCAGCTTTGGTCGTCAATGGGTTGTAGTCGCAGTAGCTGGTATGCCTCAAAAGGTCCTTTCTTTATTCTGAGTCGGTGCCAGTAAAAGGTTGGCTCTATCCAGGACAGAGCATGACATGCCTGATACTGGCTATACTGACCAGGCCCGGGTGAGCCGAGTTCTACAGCACACTCCCCGCCGAAACCTAGCAATTTCAGACAGCTTTGCTTGAGTCTTCAATTCATGCGGCAATGGCCGCGTCCAGCTGCCCACTCGGACTCGGCGGGTGCTGCACTGAGCGGACTTGGCGTCACTGAGACATTCTAAGATTCTAAGACGTCTTGAGTCTTGAGCCTTCCGAATCTAGGACGAAGCCTGCGCCAGCAGCCTCAGGCAACAGTGCCCCTGTAGAGTGTCACAATGTCCCACGTGCTCGAGTTGTGCTGCTTCGCCCGGAGGCGGTGAGGCGCGTAACGATGCTTCTGGCCAGTCGTCGGCATCTTCAACCTCCACGGCTCAGGCAAAGGGGGTCGCAAACTACTTAGCAAAGCTCAGTAGATGGTGCCCTGCAAGTGCCTCAGGCTTCCCAGAAGTCGCCTGGGCTCAGCAGCGAGCGAGAAGTGCTCCTCAATTGCAAGTGGCGCAGTGGAGCGAAAGCATGTTTCGAGAAAGGATGCTGAACAGTCCCAAGCTTGTGAAGGGTCTAACGAGCTCACAGGTCCACCATACCTTCCGCCGATGGGTCGTTCGCAGCCTCAGCAACTGCAGTGGCTTCAATAAGCACAGAGGGGTGCTTCTCAGGCCATTTATGTATCCTTCCGAGAAGCAGTTTTTCGCTTCCGCAACGGCGAAGGGCCACACGCTCGACCCACAGGAGCCTTTTACTGCCTTTCAGCCTTTCATCGTGCCTCCCTGGACCCAATTCAGGACATGAGCATGGTCATAGCAATTCACAATGCTGTGAACGAGCGGACCTGGCAAGAGATCCTCAAGTACGAGGGCTTGCACCGCAAGGACTCCTGAGCCCTGACAGGTGATCAAACGGATGTGGGGGTTGTTTGCTCCCCTATATAAGGCCCTAAACCCCAAACTACTATAAACCCTTTAAGCGTTAACTGAGCCAGAGCAAGTGGAGGAATGTGCAGAACCGAAGCTCCTTCGATTTCTCGGGCGGCCGGGAGAGCTGACACCCAAGGCTGGGCTCGGTTTCCTCGCAAAGAACCAGAGAAGTGCGCGGTAGCTATCCATCGCCTGCGTTGGTCAAGCACGAAAGTATTAGGTTGGGGTTTAAAGTATTAGGTTGGGGTTTCGGGTAGAGTTTTAAAAGGATCTCAATGGTGTCCAAGGCCCGCCTGACCAGCTTCTTTGGACGGACGTTGCCGTTTGACCGCCACGACTGGCATGTAGATCGGTGTGGCAAGCACGTTCGAGTCTCATCCGCAACTTGGAGTTTTGCGGGCTGTCGAATTCTTAACTGCTGGGCATTTTGTTTCGAGACTCCCTATGCCTGTCTGAAGGATATGTGGTGGACTTCTATGCCTGAGTCTGATTGCATCAGTTGTCTGTCAGCACGGGCAGCAGCATGCAGAAGCTGATGCGTGCCACACCCATGATGAGGATGGACAACAGAGTCCGACGCATGCAGTGTCCATACACATTGATGCCCGTCCTGAGGCGTCTCGTCAGCATCGCAGTTGCAGGGTTACTCTTGAATTGTAGAGTTCATGCTCCGGGAGGTCTGCCGCGGCCAGGTTTGTGAAGCCTTGACTTTAGCCTCTACAATCCCTTCCACCAGCCGTATCTCAAATCTGCTCTGCTTGTTGCTCACTAAGTTGCTTGCCCCCCGGCATGTCTGCTTCTGCAGGTGTCCTGGCAAGGACTCGCAGATCGCTTTACGCTTCTGGGCTGCGGGAAGCACGCAGTGTGGTTGTTGTTATTTCTGTTGATAGTGAGGTCCTGATGGCGATAGTGACGATGGTGAAAAGATATGGTGCTACTCTACTACGACGACGACGATGACGACCACGACTACTGTCATTACTACTACTACTACTACTACTACTACTACTACTACTCCTTACTGGTGCTCAAACTACTGGTCACGCTTTTCGGAACAATCTTCACTCACGAGTATTCTTCTTCCTTTTCTGACTATGATCCTGCTCTTTTTCTTCGTCTGTGAGGAGGTCTCCTTCGTCTGTGTAGGAAGTGCTAGGACTGGACGGTCCCTAGCCCGAGGCTGTGGTGGAATGGGAAGTAGCGGTTCTGCGACTGCGCCACTTCGACTTCGCTGAAAACAGCGGCCGATCGTTGGGATACGACACGGCTGGATGTTTTGAAGTGGTATATCCAGAAGTGAGGGGACTTGGCAAAACTCTGTTTCAATCAAGCCAAAGTGAGAAGCTGCTGGAAAGTTGTTTTTAAAATCTAAGCGAACCCAAAACACATTTCAAGCCACTGCCCTCTGCATGCCGAGCCTGTCGACGAAGTGACGCAAGATCTCCGTCCGTTAAATCCGAAACCCAAACATTGTGCTGCCATGGGCACGATAGCCGGCCGGTTGAGGCAGGGGCCCGCGATTGAAAATTTGGAATTTGATGCTAAGAATTTGCAAGGGTTCTTTAGGGCTACTTGCCGGGTCGTAACCCGACTCGGAGGGGTTCCTGGATTCTTGGGGGGATGGTACTGTATAAGGTACAGTAACTTACAGCATACCCATAGGTTATAGTCGGGATAATGCCGTCACCACTTAAAACCCAATGTGCCCAGTTAATAACTCGAATTTGGGCAGATGATTGGAGCCTACTACCTTAACATCTGATCTGGAAGCACCCCCTTGGGAGGTGTTCGAACGTAGTTGCTGGAGTTGCTAGGTTTTATTTTCGACAGCTAAGATCAATGGCAATTGGAAGGCGCTACATACTGTATCCATTTTGGAGAGGCCCTGTATGATTGTGAATGGAAGTTGAATGGCAAAACCCAGGCACGATACAACGCTCACGGTTCATTCATCGCAGAAGGGCAGGGGCTGACTTCAGTTTGCATGCTGAATATAGAGATTATGGACCCTCCGGGGTCTGACCGGCAGGAGATCGTGAACACATCTGTAATTTCTTTGGTCCGGAGGTCGCGCTTTCCATGGCCTTCAAGCTGGATGTTGCTCTTGCCGAGCGATTTCTCGGGTCCCTCCCTCTCATATCGCTGGAGAAGGAGGCGGCGTTCGTTCATCAAGCGATCCTCTTGAGCAAAGGCTCTGTTGGGACAGGAGTGTCGTGGACTCGTGCTTCAGAGATCCAAGAGCCTTGATCACACAGCGCTCTATCAGACCGCTGCTCGGCCAAACGGAAAGCTTGAGACCTATTGTGTCAGTACCGTTCCCTGGCCCAGCAGCAGAGAGTAAACGATCAGGTGTCTCAATCAGGCTTGCTAGCCCCGGCCGTAGCAGAGGACGAACTGCTCGGAGCTTAATTCCGATGTGACCTGAAGCTTCCGGTGCGTGTTGGTGCTTGTGATGGCTTTCTGCAGCTTCAGGCACCGGCAGCAATCATGGGCAAGGACGGGTGATCCGGTCCCGCGCCATGGGCCGAGCAACATCCAGTGTCACCGGGTTCACCTCACACCTTCTCCTTTAAAAGCTCCGAAGGCATGCCCTTGGACACCACAGCAGCAGAGAGGCCACCTGGATTGTGAGTGATTGTGTTGATGGATGCCCGGTTTGATCAAGTGTACCGCCCGAAAAATGACAGGTTCCTGAATGGTCTTGCAGTGTGGAGCTCTGGTGCCGAGGACATCTCAGCCTAGTCTTGGCGTGTGAGTAGGTAAACCGACGAAAGTTGTCCAATGCGGTGTTTAGACACTGGTAGAGGCTGTTCAACACGGGGTGAGCTTCGGGACTAGAGTGATTGCCAGCGCGCTTCTTATGTGTCCTGACCCAATCCTACTTTCAGTTTGCTCCCAATTGCGCTTCAATGTTGATTCAAGCGTCGGAGATGAAAGTCCATGAGACATAGTAGCATAGTAGCTTGACAGATTCCATGATCTGACGCACGGACTTCCATCGCAACGTGCAAGTGCAAAGTTTTTTTCTTACGCGCTTGAGCTGCTGATCGGATGCCGCAGGCAGAATCTGCCCAAGAACCACTGGGGGATCCGGCCTCAGCGCAGCTCGCTGGGTCCCGACTTGTCTGCGCGCCTGCGAAGATGCAGGTGGGACATGGCTATGGCCCAACGAGCTTTGATTTTCAGCAGTTCCTTGACTCAGTGCTTGGAAGATGTGAGTTGCTACATTTAAACCAGAGGCTTCGTAACCCGGGACTCGGCCAGGCCGCAAAACTCTGTGAGGCCCAGCAAGACAGTCATCGGAGGCTGGAGGCACGGGACCGGTGCTGCTTGGAGGGTCGGGGGACTCAGTAAGTAGATATTAAGTAGAATTAGAAATACCCTAAAAGGGATCCTAATTGGGGTTATGATACTTATAAGTCTATAAACTAGCTAGTTACTAGGTCCCCCGACCCTCCAAGTGGTGGACTCGCAGCATATCGAAGAGCATCGAAGAGCATCGAAGAGCACCAGGAGCCACACTGACCTGCTGCGCTTGATTCCCGTCCTCCTCAGGAAGGGGCTACTAGGCCGGGCCACGTCGTCACACTGCGATCACTGCAGAAGATTGGCTATATTCTTTCTGATTATTTCTTATGGTACATATTCAAGTATGTTGCAGTATATAGTTATTGTAAAACATATCATACTATAGCGGAAAAGTATATGATAGTACCACAAGTACTAAAGCTCGTTAGGCTTCCAGTTGTAGGTGCTGGCCTGTACGTGCGACCAGCGTTTTGATTTCAGTCTTTCCAGGTGCCTACCATCGCCCTCGACACCCGAGCGATGACACGAAGCCACTGAAAAACCCTATTGAAATTAAGGACACGAAAGCAGAACTATGACACACATTTGTTAGCATGGCTGTGTACAAGCGCAGTGTTAATTCAACGGCTGATGACACATCGTTTCTGCACCTCCTTCAGCTGTAGGTGGCCGCGTGGATATCACGACAAGGCCGGGTGCTTACTAGCTTCGGTATGTTTTGCCTTACCCGGCCGAGCTCTTTGAGGCAAACCTGTGCCTACATTTGCAGCGTCCGGCCGGCTACAGGGGACATGCCCGAAGCCTTGGTTCCGAATAATCCACCACAAAACCGCCTTGGTGGCTTGACTCTTACAAGCACTGAGGCAAACTGCAGGCAACGCCGGACCGGAGATGCCCGAGGTGAAGCTGTGCCGGCCCGAGAGGGCTTGTTTTGCAAAGTTGCTGTTGTCCAGTGACATAATCTGGAGTGAAACAGAAGCATGTATGCATGGCACGGAGTGGGCGGCGCTACGCATTATGATGTCTTTCTGTTTCTGTGTGTGTGTGTTCGTACAGCAGATGAATAGAGAAATGTGTATACATAACCAACCAGGGTGCAGCTGGCCGCATTGATTAGAAATGGCCCAAACTGGAATAAACAGGGTGCGCGTGGCTACAAAAAGGGGTACGGGCTGGCAGCCCGCAGCAGTTATAATGGCCCTAACAGACCACGCAGTGGCTGTAGCAGGATGTCGGCTAGCAGTCTGTGGCTATACCTGTGTACCGTGCAAATATGGTGCGGGAGTGGCCGGCTAGCAGGACGCAGTGGCGATATGGCACAAACAGACTGCGGGCTGGCAGCCCGCGGGCCTGAACAGGGTAGCCTTGGTTTTGCTCCATTACTGCCGCTGCAGGGTGCCAGCCTGCACCCTATTGTAGCAATTCAAGCTGTCAGCCTGCACTCTATTTGTATACCATTGTAGCCACTGTGGGCTGTCAGCCCGCACCCCTGTTCATTGCGGGCTGCCAGCGTGGGCCCCTGTTTGTGGGTTAGTGCACGTGTGCACC